TCCCCTTGTCTTGTAACTCATTCCCCCCAATCCCTCGCTCCATCTGCACGTGTCTGTCTGTGCCTCCTTCGTGTCTTTGTGTCTTCTGTGTCATGGTCTCCTTTGTGTCTGTGCCTCTGTGTCCCTCTTTTCTAAGAACACTTAGTAGATTCAGGGCCCAGCCTAAATCCAGGTTGACCTCGTCTTGAGACCTTTCATCTACCAAGACCCCTCTTCCCAAATAAGGTCACATTCACAGCTACCAGGGGCTAAGACTTGGACATATCTTTTGGGGACACCAGGTCTCTATGTAAAGAAGGAAGCTGGCTGAAAATATGGATGATCCTACAGGAGCAAAGAGCCACCCAGAGAGGTTCCTCTGAGGAGAGCAAATGATAGTCTTCTGCTTGTCCACCCATCCCTGGAAATGTTCCTGAGCACCTACAGTGTGTGGGCTACACTTCAAGAACACTTGGTTCTATTACAGACCAGACCCCACTCTCCTGCTACTCACTCACTAGTGGAAGAGGGAGGCTGGGGGAGGAGGAGGAAAACAGAAAAAAAAAAAAGCAAGTGGGTGAATAAAAATAATCACTCATGGTGAAAGGTGTTGTAGAACAAACAAAAAAGGGTAGAGAGAGAGTAAGTGTGGTCAACATTTGAACAACACAAGTTTGAACTGTACAGGTCCACTCAGATTTTCTTGTAAACAGATTAAGTAAACTTACGGTATCCATAAATATAGTACAACACTGTAAATATGTTTTCTTTTTCTTTATGATGGTCTTAATACCATTTATATTGTAAGAGTACAGTCTATAATACATTTAACGTACAACATAGGTGCTAATCAACCATTTATGTTCTTCTAAGGCTTCTAGCTCACTCTAGGTTACTAGCAGTAAACTCCCAGGGAAGTCCAAATTACATGTAGATTTCTGACACCCAATATCTGCCTTGTTCAAGAGTCAAATGTATATAGTGTGGGGAGGGTCAGGGAAACCTGGAGAGCCCACAGTTAGTTACTGTGAGGCTGAGCTAAGCTTTGTAGATAAGCTGAGGCTTGCCTTTCCGACGAATGATGTGGAACCCCTGGGTGTCCACATGCAAAGCAGAAATGATCTCAAAGTGGATTACCCACTTAAGTGTAAAATGCAAAAACAGAAGCCTGCTAAACAACATAAAATCAAAATGGACTTAGGTTTGGCAATGACTTTTTAAATAGGGCACTAAAAGCAAAATCATGAAAGAAAAAAATTGATAAAATGGACTTTATTAAAATGAAAATTTTTGTTTGGCAAAAAGTACTCCAGATTCAAAAGACAAGCTACAGACTGGGAGCAAATCTCTGCACAACACCTATCTGAAAAAGGACTGGAGCCCAAAGTATACCAAAACTTCTTAAAATTCAGTAAGAAAGCAAACATTCCAGTCAAAAATTAGGCCAAAGACCTGCACAAACACCTCAGCAAAAGAAATATATAGATGATAAATAAGCATAGGAAAAGATGCTCCACATCAGACTTTGTCAAGGAAATGTAAATTAAAACCACCACAAACAATTACAATGGCCAAGATACAAAACCAAAACAAAACTTGAAACCTGACAAAACCAAATGCTGACAAGGAGATAAGCAACAGGAACTCTCCTGTTGACTGGGATGCAAAATGGTACAACTACCTTGGAAGACCATTTGACAGACTCTTACACACCTAAACATAATCTTACCATCCAACAACTACATTCCTAGATAACTACCCAATTAATTTACAAACTATGTTGCTCCCAACTGGAAGCAACCAAGAGGGCTATCCTTCAGCAGGTGAATGGATAAGTTGTGTGGTGCATGCAGACCATGGAATATTACTCAGCAGTAAAAAATGAACTATCAAGTCACAAAAAGACATAGAAGAATTTTGAATGTTAGTAAGTGAAAGAAGCCAGTCTGGAAAAAGCTACACACTATATGATTCTAACTATATGACACTGTAGAAAAGGCAAAACTACATACCCTAACCTAGGCCTCACAGGGCAGTGAAACTATTCCACATGATACTAGAGAGGTAGATGTACATGACATTGCACATCTGTCAAAACTCATAAAATGTACAACACCAAGAGTGAACCCTAAAGTAAACTGTGGGTTTTAGTTAATAACAATGTGTGGATATTGGTCCATTAACTATAACAAATGTGTCACATCCATGTCAGTTGTTAAGAAAACGGAAAACTGCTAGAGGGAGAGGAAGGTGGGAACTACACTTTCTGCTCATTTCTTCTTTAAGCCTAATACTGCTCTTAGCAAAAACTAAGTTCGTTAAGGGAAAAAAAGAAAAGATGAACCAGAGCCAAGCAAGAAAGGAAGGAGTATCTGGTGGAGGACACGGTAAGGAAGGCCTGAAGGACGAGCTGGGCCTGGCCTGTTCCTGGACCTGCAGGGAAACTGCGAGTCAGAAGGGCAAGAGGTGGGCAGGCAAAGAGCTGACCATGATGCCATTTGAGCAGAAGCCAGCAAGTAGCTGAGAGTCATACATCTTAGAGGAATCCATTTAATTTTCTTAAACTTTCTCCCATTGTCAGTGGGGACACTAAGCCGGGAAAAAGCCAATGATGCAAGAATGCATGTGGCTGTTGGAGGAGACTTGTGGGATTCACAGGATTCATCAGCATTTCTAGTAAAAGAGGAAAGAACCCGTGTGACCCTCACAACACCCTTTGGGGCAAGGTGCAATTATTGACGGCATTTTGGAATGGAGGAGCAAGTCCAGAGAGGCAGTGTCACCTGCTCCACATCACATAGCTAGCCAGGGCCAGCGGTGGGCTGCCTCTCCACATGCCCCAGAAACGCTCTGAGCTCAGAGCTGCAGAAGAGATCCCTGCCCCCATTCAGGGAGGTAGGTCTGGGTCCCACTTCCTGGCAAGTAGGGCTTATCAAGTGTTTGCAGAATCTACACCTTGAGGTTCCTTCCAGAGAAGATCAGGGATCCAGGGCCCCCAAACCATTCCCCTGCACCAGCCCTGGGCTGTGAGTATCCAACTGTGGCCAATGGCAGGCTTCCAGGTCCGGAGCTGCCATCTGGCCACAGGACTAGCTGGTTGTGGTTGCTTCCAGGCCTGCGGTGACTGTCCCTTGCTATCAGAACTGTGGTGTGGGGGACACAGGTGCTGTGTTCAAGATGGGGTTGGGGGAGGAGAATGTTGATCCCTGTGACCTCCCCAATGCTGGTCTGTATTGGAGGAAAGATTGCTGCCGCTGCCTGAGTCTCTTTGCTTATCGGGTCAGTAAAGGCACCAGGCCCCCCTGCCCACCACCCATCCCAGGCAGCCCTGGGCCTCAGCTTCCCTGCTTTGAAGAGCTTCCTTGAGGAGAGAGCCTCAAAGACCCAGCATCTCCTATAGCACCCAAAAAGGATTTTTACAAGGTGGACTGAACAGGAGGTCGGCTTAAAGGGTGCTCACAGAAAACGAGAAGCCAAGCCTCTTGCCCCCACGGTGAGTACTAAGGACTCCACTCTCCCCAGCCATCAGGATTCTGGGGCCCTCTGAAGCTGCAGGGTCCGTTCTCCCCATCCACCCGGCACCCCCGGGAGGCCGCGGGGACTGCCGCTGGGCTCAGAGCCCCTGGTCCCGGATGCCGCCCCCGCTCCAGGATCTCTCGGTTCCAGCGCAGGCGGGAGCCCCTGGGGCTCCCCGGGGCGCCCGGGGGATCCCTAGGCGTCACACTGTTGTTGTGGAGCGCGTGTTGACGCCGTCGCCGAGGAGACCGGCAGGGGCGGGCCCCATCTGGGGGCGCGGCCTG